CTGATGGTAGAAGTTACATCGCCGATTTAGGTCTATCCCAATCAGCCAATTACCAAAAACAAGAAGGTCAAATCTTCGGCGTCCTTCCTTATGTAGCACCTGAAGTGATGCAAGACCAACCCTACACGAAAGCAAGTGATGTTTACTCTTTCGGAATAATTGCTTATGAACTATTTGCTAACTCCTATCCTTACCCAGAAATGGACAATACAAAATTAGCCTTAGAGATTTGTCAGGGACTACGACCTAATATAGATGAAATTCCAATGCCTCAATTATTAAAAGATTTAGTTAAGAAATGTTGAGACGCTGACCCAAGAAAAAGGCCTAATAGTAGGGAGTTGCGGAGCATTATTTATGGTTGGCAAGAGGAAATTAGAGACAAAAAAAATACTCAATTCTACCAACAATATCAAGGAATAGTGGATGAATACAATCACTGATCTCAAAATACTCCTTATTGAATACATTCTATTGACTCTCCAAACAGTTCTCCAATAAGTACCAAAGAAATTGTTCAAATGTTCCAAGAATCCGAGCAGCAAGCCCCAGAACTAGAAATAAAAAAAATAGAAAAAGAAATCAATCAACCCCTTACTGATGAACAAAAGAAATTAATAAGTGATTTTATTCAGGCTAGAAAAAAAATGACCAAAGATAAAGAAAACGAAGAAGCGGAAGACAAAGCCTGAGACTTAGAGGACAAATTAAAAGAAGAAGGGATTTCAAAAGAAAAAGTCCAGATTATTATTAATTATTGTGAAAGATTTAGCAAGTCAGAGCAAGAATTAGAACAAGAAAAGTTGCAAGCCCAAATTGAAACCCCTCCTAAAGTGACAACCTCTTCGATACACTTTATAATGCAGCAACAACAACCTCAAATTGAAATTCCTCCTAAAAACAATAACTAAAAAAGATTGGGGAGAATTTATTCTCCCCTTATCTAATAAGTTCTTTATCAGATAAATTAACTCTTTTGCAAATATTCCTCTCTCCACTCCTCCCTCACTTCCCCAAAATCAATCCCCCTAAGTCATCCCCCATTTTAAATCTTCCATACTTCAATCTCTCCACTCATCTCTGATTATTTAACTCAATAATCCTCCTTATAATAGCAATAACTGCTACCCCGCAATCAGAACCATTACCCTGCCTAATCCCATGCTGTTTAATCAAACGCTCCTCCAAATACTCCTCCTTACTACCCCTCACTCCTCTAATCTGCTCCAACAATTCCCTCACTAAGGGCTGGGTATATTGATAATTAGCCCCTCCCAGCGTATCATAATGGTAAAATCTTTTCTCTTTTACCTGATAAACCAACAAACTCCAATGGAAGTTAGGCTGATTTGCCGGAATAAAAACTAGTTCTTTACTGGATTAATTTATTCGGTCTAAAATTTGGCAAAAACTAACGAATTATCTTTCTTTTACACTTCCTGCACCAGATGGAACTGATTTTCTTTTTGCGGCGTGAAAATACCATCCTAGCCAAAATATTTTTTGTCATTTTTCACTAAAGTAGGGATTAAATTGAGGTTTTGGGGACAAAAGTTATATATATAAAATAAATTATATGTAGAAGGATGGATGATTATCAATAGAACGAACGAGAAACATGTTGATTTTGGGTGAGGAGAAGGAGTTCGTCTCTCTCTCTCTCTCTCTCTCTCTCTTTTTTTTTTTTTTTATATTTTTTATGCGAATTAGAATGTGCGAACAATATAGTGAAAAAACTAATGACAAACTAAAAATTAACAATTAATAAATTAATATATAATATACAAATTTAATAGATATAATCATGACAGATCTAAATAAAATTAATACAATTCAAGAAGCAAAAAGCGCTCAATATAATGGCACAGTACTTACTCAAGAAGAGGAAAAAAAAATTTTTGATGATTCCCGTTTGAAAGATAGCAGCGATAATACTAAAATTGATGTAAGCAAGTTACGGGATGCTGCTAAATTATTAGATGAAGTTAAGAAAGCCCAAGCCAAAACTCAGTGGAATCCAACAACTGATCAAACAATTTTAGATAAACTCAAAAAAGAAAAGACTGATGGCACTCTAGCCTCAAAAGTAGTGAATACTGCTAAAGCAGTAGATGGCACACATCTGCTAGATAGTGTTATTACTCATTTAGAGGGTTTAAAAGTAGTATATACGCCGCCACAAGATACGAGTGATAAAAAAGGCGGGCATACTCTGGCGGAGTGAAAAGCAATCCGAGATGGCCATAAAGCTGAGGCCGAGGAAGTAGAATCGAGAATACAGGCAATACAACAGGAAATTAATGACTACACAGCAGTGGTTTCCCAAGAACAGTGAGATTATGATAAGGCCAAGAAACATAGGGAAAATATTGAGCAAGTAATAAATGACATAAAGAGTGATACGTTAGGAAAACAATTGTTAACTAGTATTGTAGATAGAAATAAAGCATATCTTGTATATCCTAATGGTTTATATGACTATGGCAATATTGTTGAAACTGGTGTTGGTTATGATGGAAGAAACTATCTTACAGCAGGTCAACTCATGAACATTGCTTTACAAACTTGAGAACAGATTTCATTGATGGATGAAACTAAACTTTTTGCCCTCATTAATAGTGACGCTTATTTTGCCAGTAGTGGTAGAAGTCGAGCCAATGCCAAAGCGGCTTATGATCGACTGAAAGGTAGAAAATGAGGATATTTGATTGGACCGAAATCTGCTAGTTTTGTTAAAAGATCGATTATGTGAACCGACAAGGATTTGTCAGATGGTCCAGAATATGGAGAAGAGAACCAACTAGTCTTTAATGATCCCAATTCCTATGTAAATAAGCCCCTCAACCAAAGGAAACCGGAGGAAATTAAATGGCCGTTTGCCAAAGCAGAACTGAGGGATATTGTTATTTTCATGAAAAATGTTTTTCCGCGTGATGCACTAGACACTAATCCAATTCTTAGTTCAACTGATGATACATTGCGGGGTAAAGAAGTGGTGGAAGTATCTTGGTTTGGATTAAGAAGCATTCCTAAAGCAGATACGTTTATTTCTGCTTCTACTCTTAAAGAGTTTGTTAGTACGGGAGAGATGTCAGCTTCAAAAAAAATGGCTCAAATAGGAAAAGCGAGTGGTTTTTTTAAAATCTTTTGAGATGCTTTTAAAGATGATTCTTTACTTGATGATAATTCAACAAGTCCAATGATGAGAGTTTTGAAATTTGATCCAGATATAAGCATGACTGCCTTACAAACGGTTCAGAAAACAAGAACTAAACTGGAAGTTGACAAAAAAGTCGATGATAACTTATTTTCGGATAATTGAGAAGAAGCGTTGGCTTATGCCGATAGAATTAAATACATCGTCGAAAATGCGGTAGATTCTGATGGTAATTCTCTAAATGTAGAATTTGATGATAAATGAAGAAAAGTTGCTATCCAAGTGGCGGATACTTCTGATACTTCAATTACTGCTCTTAGAGCAGAAAAAGCTAAAAATATGGGACGAAAAACGTCTCCTAATGAGAATACTGAATCTTGAGTTTTCCCCTACGACAAATCAACTTATGATCTAACTCTTTATGATAAATTCTTGAGCGATGCCATTATAGAAGAAAGGAAAGTGAAATTGATGTCAGAAGCGGACAGTAAAAATTTTGCGGACATTCAAAATCGATTAAGACGAGCCCAAGCCGAAAAGTTAGAAGCCCAAAGAAAAGAAAAAGTTGCCCAAGATTGGATCGATAAGTTCGCTGGCATGGATTTACAAGGGTTAAAAAAGGCTTTTAAGGATATTTATAAGACCGGACCATCTGCCAGCAATAAATACTCTCCTGAAGACATAGAGACCATGTTTTCTCTGCTTGTTGATATCAAAAATAAGGAAGTAACAAAACAATTAGATAGTGAATTTGCAGGTTACGAGAGTAAATTAACAACATTAAGAAACGATATTGCTAAATTCACTGTTATCACTCAGGCTTGAGTAGGATTGGGAGGTACGATAGAAGAGAAAATAGCCAAACGAAATTTTGCCACTGATGAGGTAAAAGATCGGGAATTAAGAAGAATTAAAGCGGCTTTTGAAGGAATAGAAAATTTACGAAAATTAGGTGCTCTCGAAGAGGAGGATTTTAAAAGTATTAAAGAAGTTTTGGATGGTACAAGACGAATTCCTGATAAAGAAAAGTCTTCCGATCTAAACCCAACGAATTTAACCAATTTATTTGGTTTCACTGTTGACCAAACATTAGCGAACACTTGAAAAAATTTCGCCTACCAAACCCTTACGGAGGCTAAAATCAAAGAAATTATTACTGATACCTATGCCCCAAACAAGAGTGGACATAATGGACTCCTGTCTCATTTAAATGAAA